CGCTTTCTGTACGCTAATTTGTTGAGACAAAATAATTGATTTCTCAAAAACTATTGCGAATATCGCAAAATGGCACAGGATTTTCTTGCTCACTTCAATCCGTTCTACGTTCTCACTAAGGGTTATCATGGGACTTCGGGACACCCTGTATATATATATATATGTAAAAATTAGACCGACAAATTTTGAGGGGAAATAGAGGACATAAAAACAAACATATTTTGTTAATAATGTTTTTCTCTACGACGCGTCAAAGTTTTCGGTCTTAATTTTTTACACCCTGTATATATATACAGGGTGTTTCAGACTACCCGTATCACTCATTTAAAATAAAAGGATCAACATTTTATTAAAAATTCAAAACACTTTTTCACTAAGTCGAACACGCTCTACTAAATGATACTATATTCAACTTCCAGTATCGACCGGAAGTGGGTTGTTTAGACCGGAAGTTTAGTTTTTTAAATAGAATATCCTATTTTTTTGTAGATTCAGATTCTACGGTGAAAAATACGAAACTTATGTCCGAAACATTTTTTCCGAAAATGTGTCACCGATCTTGAAATCACATTGAAAGTTTATCAATTACCAAACCTCTTATCCCAGCGAGAAAGATTACGTCGATTCGACGTCTACTAGACATCTATATGAAACGTCTATCTACCATCTACGTCTAATCTATATCGACCTAAAAACGGTCCACATTTAGATGTCTAATAGACTGTCATTTCGACGTCTTATCGATGTCTAATAGACCGTCATTTCGACGTCTTTTCGACGTCGATCAATAAGTCATTTCTCACCTGATTGTTTCATAAAAATAACTAATTCCTAATTTTCTTTATGTCTTATAAACTGCTAGAAACCGAAGATTATCAAACACACATTAAAACTTTCGCGGATCTTGCCTCGATAATTTCGAATTCGAAGTGGTCATCCATCCATCCTGATTGCGTTGCTTAACCTGACCATCGAGCGGCACGCGGTGTTCCAATAACACCAATAATGTTCTTACAATTTATGCTTATAAAATGTATACTTACAGTGTTCACAGTATATTATAACGTACCTAGCAAATACATACGTTGATTCGCCTGTCTATTTTATTTAATATCTCTAAAGTTTATATAGTTATTTGCAAAATGACTTTGATCATTCCTTCCAGTTTAATGTTTTTCGAATAATCTGACATTGATATCTTTGTAATACTATAATTGAATCGGAAATCTAAAAAAAAACTGACGTTTCCACAGAATAAATTTTTTATGAAAAACGCGCGCGATTTCAGTGAGAAGTGACTTATTTATCGACGTCGAAAAGACGTCGAATCGACGTCGAAATCGTCAAATAGACGTCGATTCGACGTCTTTTCGACGTCAATCGATAAGTCATTTCTCACTAAGATATTAAATGTCGATTCAATATCGAATAGACGTCTAGAAAGATTGTAAATATTCGACAAAATAAAATTTCGAAATTTTATTGAAAATTCTCTTTTAATGGTCAATATATTATGAATGGATTCTAAAACATTAGAATTTACTCAAAATAGAAGATCTCTAAATTGCCATTTTTTTAGACGTGCATTTAGACTAGACGTAACTTAGACTTCTCCGACGTCGAATCGACGTCTACGTTCTCGCTGGAATGAACTTCCTAGCCGCAGTGCGATAGTCGCTTTCGTATGATTTGACTTTTTAACATACTCCAAATACTGAAATAAATATTTCTACTTAAGTATCTTACTTTCAATTCTTCGTGTACTCTAATCACACTCAAAAATTTTTAAAAGTGGACTGACTAAGGTTGGAATCGGGACAATAAAATGAACTTTTCAATCAAACATAATTTTATTATTTAACTTTTCGTTATAGTCGGAATTTAGTAACAAACTTAACATTTATTTAGTAACAAACTTAACATGTACATAATTTTTATTCAATTAGTAAATCTTGTCTAGGCTAAATGTTCAATGTAAGCTCCATTATGTAAAAGGCAAATATCAATTCTTTTTTGGAAGGATTCGATAGCTGGACGAATTTCGTTTGCATCTAAAGATCGAACAGCTTCTGTCATTAGAAGCATCATGTTTTCTCTCGTAGTTGGGCGCTCACGATAAACTATATCTTTTAGTCTTCTCTACAAATACTAATCCAAAAAAGTCAGATCGGGCGATCGTGGTGGATAATTAAAGGGACCGTATATGCCTATCCATTTATTTGGAAATATTCTATTTAGTTGCGCTCGAGCATTTCTCGATGTATGGGCCGAGCACCCATCTTGCTGGAAAAACATGTCTAAGCGCGACTGCAGAGGAACATCCTCTAGCAAAATATGAAGATCTGTCCGCAGAAAAACTAAATATGAAGCACCACTGAGATTTTCGTAAAAAAAAATAAGGCCTTACAATCTGATTATTTATTATGCCGCACCAAACATTAACTTTCCAAATGTGTTGCATATCAATTTCTCTCAATCAGTAAGGATTATTATCAGACCAATAAAGACATTTATACATATTCACTTCTGCATTGCTTTTAAGTGTACATTCATCGGAAATAAAATGTTTTGGTGAAAATTACGCTGTTTTTCCCTTATCCAATTACAAAAAACTCTCTGTCTATAATCATTTTGGGTTAACACTTGATGAAGATGCATTCTATAAAGATAAAACTTATTTTCTTTATAAATGCGCGAAATCGTTGTTGTACTTATACCACAATCTTTTTCTCGTCGACGTAAAGAGTCATTCGAATTCACAATCGCCGATGCTAAAATATCTGGTACACTTATATCCCTAATTCTTCGGCGAATCTGTCTTCCTTTATTATAATCTGGCTATATGATACCTTTATTTCTAATTCGCTTGGCAAGTCGTGAAAAAATATTAAATGAGTGTGCAGTTCGATCGGGATAACGTTTCTGCCATAATCTTGCTGCTTCACATTACACATCTTGGCATTCCCCCAAAATTAAAAGCATATCATATGCTTCTTCATTTAAATACAACATAGTTGGAATATTAAGTCTTCAATTAACATTTTAATAATTTACAATGAATTTATTATCTTTTCGTAAGTAAAATGTCAAAATAGAATTGTACAAAATTATTGATAGAATATGTACTTATGAATTTTTAATGTTAATGTATCAATAAAATAAATTTATTGTAACGCTTCCGGAGAAGAGCTAGCGTCTCATTATTGTACAAATTGCAAATTTATTGCAATACAAACAATATTATAAATTTGAGCGAGATTACCGAAAGAAAATAATGGCAATGTGTCGCTAGATAGATTCTTCTAGCTAGATATCCACTATTTAAAGAATATTGTTACGTTAGAGATTATTGTTAGATTGTTGAAGAACATTAAAGGTGCGAGATATAAACATGAGCACGCATACACGTCGCGGCCAAACACAGACGTAAAACGCGTAAGCACAGGCAGCTTTCTTGATGTTTATATTTCGACGAAAATCTCAGTGATGCTTCATATTTAGCTTTTTTGCAGACAAATTTTCTTATTTTGCTAAAGGAATGCAGAAGTGAATACATATAATTGTCGTTATAGGTCTGATAATAATCCTTACTGGTTGAGAGAAGTTGATATGCAACACATTTGGAAAGTTAATGTTTGGTGCGGTATAATAAATAATCAGATTGTAGGACCTTATTTTTTTTTACGAAAATCTTAGTAGTGCTTCATATTTAGCTTTTCTGCGGACAGATCTTCCTATTTTGCTAGAGCTCCCTCTGTCGCGCTTAGACATGTTTTTCCAGCAAGATGGGTACCCGGCCTATACATCGAGAAATGCTCGAGCGCAACTAAATAGAATGTTTCCAAATAAATGGATAGGCATATACGGTCCCTTTAATTATCCACCACGTTCGATCTGACTGTTTTGGATTATTATTTGTGGGGAAGACTAAAAGATATAGTTTATCGTGAACGCCCAACTACGAGAGAAAACATGATGCTTCGAATGGCAAAAGCTGTTCGATCTTTAGATGCAAACGAGATTCGTCGAGCTATCGACTCCTTCCAAAAAAGAATTGATACTTGCCTTTTACGTAATGGAGCTCACATTGAACATTCAGT